AACTAGGCTGTCGCAGTTTTATCATGACCCAATTTGGCTTTAGTTCTGGTAAGGGATGTAATGATAGCATTCATGTAATCAAACTCCTCCAGGAAATTGCCTACCAGCTATGTCGACCTCACAGCAGCATATGACAAACATCAATAAAAACTTCTTTTCATCCTTTATAAACCACCTTCCAATTTCTGAATTCACTGAATGTATCAATCTAATAGAGGAACAGTATCAGTTCACAATGTCTTACATGTCCAGTAAGAAGTGCTAGACTATACCCTGTGCATTTACCAACACAGATATAAAGAAATGTTCACTGATCATTTCAGAATTGCTATATTGCATCCCAAATGATCTACCAATAGAAAACAAGCTAATGTACTGATGGTGATGGCCGTGTGGAGGTGAGGTAGTTGGAATAAGAATGATCTTTAACAGAAAACATTGAAACACCAGTTCTTGTATGATCACCAAAGTTAAGTCAAGTCAAGCTTGATCAGTACCTAGATGGGTGACCACTTGGCAATACTGGGTGGCATAATGAATAATATTCCAGGGAGCTATGATTCAGTTCCAGTTGCATTCACTTGCATGCAAATACCTTTAGGAAAAGTTTGAATCTACCTCTTCTCCTCCAGCTATGGGTTAATTAAGATTTGTAGGGGTAAATCATTATCACCAAAAAAAATTCTTACAATATAAAAGTATTTTCTGGCTTTAGATAACCTGCAAAAGGTTGATATACCATAATATATTAAAAAAATAAAATTGACCAGAAAATCAACATCTTCAGGATTAAAGATAAACCTTTCCAAAACAGAAACTATAATCTGAAATTGGAATGAAAAATGATGTCATCTATTCTGAATTCATCATAAAAATTCAGGATGTGGATTTAGTAAATAAACACTTCAAATATTTCTGTATGGATTAGTTATAACAAATTTAGTAGAGAAAATTGAACAGCCTGCATTAGAGGTAGTTTTGCTCAATATCGCAAATTGCTACAAAACCAAAACATTAAACTGGAAACTAGTTGTTCTTAGATAGCCTTATATTAAGAACTTTCATATGGATGTCATGACTGGGGTCAAACCCAAATAAAAGGGGCTAAGAAAGAAACCCCCATCAATACTGGAAAGAGCAATAACCCCTACTGTACTTGAAAAATCTAATTTTAAGGTATGCTGTATTTATGGGTAAAAGATGACAGGAAGATTGTGTTCAAGCAACAAACTGTCAGTGATAAGACAAAAAAAGGATGGAAATTTTAGTAAAAACCTTTAAAAAAACAACCAAGTTTTAGTTTCCATGCACTTTTGATTTGTAGAAAGCTGTACAATATTCAAAGTTGTGAATTAGTTATGTCAAATTATAAACTGTTTTCTACCTGGATTTTGTTAAATGTATCAATATAAAAAAGAAGTGACTTCTGGCTCTAGTAGATTTGTGCTAAATGTATTAGTGACTTTTTTTTTTTTTTGCAATGTAATAAATAGATTAAAAACTAGTACAGTTTGAACTTTTTTTTCCTAGTGATTACATAGATAAATCTGAATACAATCACTTGTAAAATTATTTTAAAAATTCAAGAATTGTCTCCTTTTGTATTAGATAAAATGTCCACGCCTTAATCATTATTTTTTTTTGTTTTCTCTCCAGTGGTTTGGGGTGAGTGCAACCACTCATTTCATAACTGTTGTATGTCATTGTGGGTGAAACAGAACAATCGCTGCCCCCTCTGTCAGCAGGAGTGGGTGGTTCAACGCATTGGCAAGTGACATCATCTGACAACTGCAACTTTTCAGACCTGTGCTCTCTTTCTGACACTAAACACACCCTGGAACCAAGGAGCTTGTTCCTCTACTTTACAGCAGAATCATAATAATGATGCCACAAAACAAGAGCATGACAACACCTGCCGATATGAGGGCTGCTGTATTGGAGTTCATTGCTTTCAAACCCTCAGGACAACTTTTACTTTGGAATATTAAGGACTTGTAAATTTCTAATTTATTACCTTTTTTGTGTACTGTTGAGATCTAGGCCCAGGAAGAGAGAGGGGAAGTGGACAAAAAAAAAAAAAAAAAAAAAAAATGCATTTAAAAGACAAAGATAAAGTGAGGTGAGAAAGAAAGAAAAAAAAGATAATGCCTAAAGTGGAAAACTGCAATTTCTTTATGAATGAAAAATAAAAGTTACATCCTCTACTGCGTATTCTTTGATTTTTCAATTATGAAATTTTCATAGAATCTCATTATTCTAATGCCATTTTTTTTTCTAATACAAAAAAGGGAAAAAAAGCAAAAATTTTTCTGTTTGGTTTATTCAGTTTTGCCTTTTACAATATTTGAGAAACTTGGGTTTAAAAAAAAAAAAAAAAAAAAATATAATAAAATGTATAAAATAAAAAAGGATAGGGGGAAGGGGGGAAACTCCCACCCAAAGAAACTTTAAATAGGCATTATCTTTGATAGCACAGATCTGATTATTGCAGCCAGCCATTAATAGAAAAAAAAATTATCAACTGGATAGTGATACTGATGGGAGATGAAGAACAATGCTGTCTATATCCTGTTCATTATTCCCTTTCATCTCCCACTGAACATGTTTAATTCTTCCCTAAGTTAAAAAGCCCTCAAATAATAAAAATAAATCGTTTTGTAATGTTATTAGAAGAGGTGGTTTGAACAAAAAAAAAATAAATAAATAAAATATTGCTGTAATAGAATAGACTAGCATTGGGTAATATTTGGTAAGGCACAGATCTAGAGCAGAACCTTGCTCCAATGCATGGTTTAAGATATCACAGTCTTAAAATTATTTCATTGTATCATTTCCATTTTTTCTTTTTTAGTTAATTCCAAGATTGTTATATTTTTTTTTTTTTTACTTTTTGAACAAAAGCCAAACTACTGCTCTCACCATCGCATTATAGGTTTTAATGAATTGGCTCAGAGAGAGAAATAATCAAGATTTGCAGACTACTAAATGGTTATTCATTTTAATCTATGCCAACTCTTGATTTATTACCGTGTATCTGAGCCACCATATTTATAAAAAGAAATCCTGAACTCTTATGCATTGGGGACTTCATGGTTTAGCATGAACATTTTTGTAAGATACAAAAACCTGACCAGGCCTAATCTCTCCTTGCTTTCCAGAAGGAAGAAAAGTCTAAATCTGTTCACCCAGCTTTAGTTTGTTTTTAAATCTCATAACGAAACTAATCCATAATTTCACAAGCATTTTTGGTGTTCTGCAAAATTAGTTTTTTGCCCACTGAATTTAAAGTAAGTCTTTCATCGAAAAAAAAAAAAAAAAAAAAATTTAAAAAAATACTCCAATTTCTAGGCTTTTGTTACGAAAAAATACTTTATTCCTTTGAAAAGTTCTTTTGAGGAAAGGCCAATCTATTGTCCTTAAATTTCCAAGAACATATTTTAAGGTGTTCTTGGTAGCTTATCGAGAAAGAGAGGAAAGAAAAACAAACAGCAGCTTTAGCTTACAAAGGACAAGTAGTCAAACAGAGCCATCTCCCCACCCCTCTTTCAAAAATTCCTACTCCTAGAAGCTTTATTTCTATTAATGTAATTCAATCCAACTTTTCAAATTTAGTGAAGGAAGAACATTTTTTTGTTTTCAGTTTATCTACTTATCCTGCAGAAGTGGAGCTTAAACTTGTAAACTTTGGCTTTTATAATTTATTTTTAAGAGAAACTAAAATGGCTGGCCTTAAAATATTTAATGAAGGGAAGAGAGAATTCCTTTGTAGAAAAACCAATGCAGAATAAAAAAAAAAAGATAGAAATTCGTGCAGAGAACAACAATAACAGTACAAAGCTATTAGTCATGAAAAGTTTTTTTTATTCATTTATGGGCTTTTTCTTTTTTTCAATATATATTTTTCTTTCTATCCCTCCCTTTCAATATAGACATGCTTTGTTGATTTTTGTCCACCCGCCCCCTTCTAACTACAGGAAAGAAGGTGCACCTGACAAGGGGGTTGAAGTTTAATACAATTTAACATATTTACAGATGCTACAAGCCACCAATGTCCCAAATCGATGGCGCTGGTAATCAGATCTTACAGATGCTGAAGTAATTCTTCAGAGAGAGAAAGGTTAGGCCACTTGCAAAAAAAAAAAAAAAAAAAACTTACACCAGCAACTTGCTTAGTTTATTTTCAACAAAATTCTATGTATAACCCTCCCTACTCAGCTGAAATTTTGGATTTTGCCAAAGAAAAAGGTCCAATGAAATTTGCCTGATCTAGAAGGATTGAACAAAAATAAAAGGTATCATAAATAAAATTGGGAGGTAAATATAATTTTAAAAGGAGGAAGTGGCAAAAGAAAGACAAAGTAGCAAGCAGGTATAAAAATTATGAAATCTTATATACAAAATTAAAATCCTGAAAGTTAGGAAAGAAAACGAAAGTGGGGGAGGGCATAGGTGTTGTAACAAAGACCTAATACCATGTTTTGTGTACATTTCTCAAAAAAAAAAAAAAAAAAAAAAAAAAAAAAAGAAAGACTTTTTGGCTTAGAATTGCTTTCCTAGAAGAGTGGGGGAGAGGGGTTGACAGAAAATGAGAAGTTCAATTCATCATTTTTGCCAATGTCTACCTAACAGACAAGGGTGTGGGAAGAGGCAATGAAAAGCATGTTACCACATGATCATTTGCAGAGCTTGGAATGCCTGATAGGCCATTTAAAAAAAGGAAAAAAAAAAAAAAAGAGAAAGCATCTTCAAAGTTAGGGTGACTTTTGAATGGAAAGAAGTCGTCAAAGCAGGCAAACAGATCCTACTACCATGTTCACATTTGCTCGGAGAGCACTTGCACAAGACAACCCCCTCTGGATTGTATCAGCTTGTAAGAAAGTGCATTATTGGTTGATTTTCTTTTTATTAAATCAATATATACAATCACATTGGATGGCATAAAAACATTGGAAACTGGCTTGTAGCTGCTGGCCAAATAAATGCCACTGTAGGAGGCCTTTTCATGCAAGGTAGGTGTACATTTTTCTGAAAAAGAAAACAATTACATACTTTATATAGAATTTAGTTCTATCAGAAATAAAGTGTGAACATAATTAAAGGTATAATGTATAGAGCAAACTGACCAATTATTCATTTGTAGGAGGCTGGATGGGTGCAAAAAATTAAAAAAAAAATTCTTTGCAAAATTAGAATCAAAGCAAAGGGCAAATTTATGGCATTTAAACAACAGTCCCAGTATTTATTGGATTTAAATAAATCAATTTGTCATATTTCTTGTGAAGAGCACACACTGAGAAGTCCTCCTCCCCACTAACATACACAAGCATATGCTAAGAACCAATTGCCAAGGTCCCTATGAGGTCAGAATGACTCATGAAACATCTCAAGGCAAGTAAATATGCAAAGATAACATTTTGTAAAAATTTCGGAGGGGGAGAGGCTTTTTTTTCTTTTTAAATGTTATTTTCAAACAGACCATTCTGTACAAATTTTTTTTCCTTTTCTCACTGGTTATAAAGTTTTTTTTATAGCACTGCAATAGTAAAATTGAAAACTGTCAGTGCTTTTTCATAAAAAGTTAAAAAAAAAAAAAAAAAAAAAAAAAAAAACACACAACCTAAAACAAATGAAATACTTAAATTAAAGAATTCTCTTGCTTTATTCACAGTTTAAATTCTATTATCTTTTCATGCGAGCCAAAAAGGTAAATGTGGCAATGATTTTGGCAAATGGTGTGAAGATTCACCTTGTTAGATTGAGAGTTACATACTAATGATTTGCCACAATTATGTTCACACATTTTAAACAAATACTGACCTGTCTTCTGGAGTTCTAGCCAAGTATTCTCGTTCTATCAATCCTTCAATTCTTTTCTTAATTACCACAGGACTTGGTAAGAATCTTGCTTTCAGTTGTTCAGTTACCTTTGATACCAAAAACATTCAAAGTTTTTATTTGATGATTTTTTAAATTTAAATATAACTTCAATAATACAAACAGTTGTACATTGACTAGATAGTTAAAATATATATATATATATATATATATATATGTGTGTGTGTGTGTTAAATTGCTACTAAAAATAACGTTCACATATCCAAAGACAAAATATTAGCCCAACTCAGATTTATTGCAAATACAAATTGGTAGCTCAGCATGTGCCTTATCAGTTGCACATTTAACAGATCAATGCTTTATAATTTTAGTAAGAAAAAAAAAAATATCACCTGAAATTAACAATGCCTTGAAAAAAATTTAATGTTTTAGAATATTAAAAAGCAAGTGATATTAATTAAGTTTTTTTACATATTTAGAGAATATAACTTTCAATTAAAAAGTCTTGTCAGTTGAGTATGACTGAGTATTTTATATTCATATTAGCCAAATTACCTTGCTACATGTCAGATTTTTTTTTTTTTTTGTATTAAAAAAAAAAAAAATTTATGCATTTCAATATTTGGTTGATGTGACCTCCATCTTCTGGCTTTCTCCTATATTTTGGATAGGAGTCATTACTTTGTTCAAATTTAAATCAAAGAAGGAAAATTTTTCAGTGTGGGGTGAGTTGTGTCACCCGGGAACCCAATTTAATCAAAACGAAATATACTTATCCATGTACCTTGGGTAATGTAGTTTCAGAATATATATGGTTACAGGGTCTATTTCCAAAACCCTAGGAGTTTGAGGACAGACAGATGCTACTACTTTATTATGAATAGAATATTAAAGGCTCAAACACTAATATTTCATTGTTATAATTTATTATATTGGAATTGTAATCACAATCCAATTCACCAGACCTACAAATTCAAAAAGAAAACAGAAAATATATGCTTTTTCAAATTGTTCTTGGTTACATTATTTCTCTTTTAAATGCTCATTTTTGTTTGGCCTTTTCACTTAATTTCTTTCTTTTCCTCACAACCTCCCCCCCCGTTTCTCTCAACTTCTGTTATGTATACATGTTTAGTAAATGTAAATCAGGCAACAAATTTTCATATATACATTGGCATCATACATTAGATAGATGTTAAATTTGGATCGTCTAATGATTTTCCTTTTCCGTTTATTCATTATATCTAATGTCACCACAAATGCATCTATACTTTTCCTTTGTCTTTAAGTAAAAAAAATTTCTGGCTCACCTCAGCAACCAACACATTATGCTGTAGCTTCTTCCTGGCTTTCATGATTCTCACAATGGCAGCTTCTATTGTGCATGGTGGTCAAGGACAACATCAGCAACAAGCATTTCATATTTTAAAAATCAAAATGGAAAATTATTTAACTAGGATTTTAATAATTTCTATGGACTAAAACTTTGCCAGTGAGTTTAATTTTTCTTTACCCCTAAGGCAATTATATAAATGTTATTTTGAAATTCTGATTAAGTTTTTCCGTTCATTTGCATTGCATTTCAATGAGAATACTGTTATAAAACTGGGTACCTCCAAAAATTTTCTAAAAAAGAGCATACTTTTAATGAAATTTTCAGGACTGGTTCAGAAATGAATGAAATTATTTTTAAAATTTAAGAAAATCTTGATAAAAAAAAAAAAAAAAAAAAAAAAAAAAAGTTATATATATATATATTTTAGATCTGTTAACACTACCTAATTTTGTAAAATTTCAAGAAATTAAAATTTCAGCTTCATATTTATATTAGTTAAAAGCAGGACTCCTTGGAGAATTTAAAATCAATCTGTTTTGGTCAAACAGAAACACCATTTACTGAAATCTGTTCTGAATCATAAAAAAAAAAAAAAAAAATGCAAGAACCAGAATCTCTGAATCATTACAAAAAAATGGAAAAGCTTTCAATTGCTTTTGTAAATAAGATATATTAGACACTATTGTCTTAAGAAAAAGCATTTTTTCAGTAAATGTATTTCTACCAAAATTGTTTTCATTTTTTTTTAAATTTTGATTAGAAACATTTATTAAGTCTTAAATCTTAAGATTCTGTATTAATTTCACCATTTTAGATGATGTAATTAGGTGAAAACTATATTTACTAATCATAAATGCAAAAGCTTAATACAAATAAAACAAAAAAGCTCCTTCCAGTCAATTTAAATTAGTTTGAGCAATATAGCAAAGTACTTTGCGTTTTTGCTTATTTGAAACATTAAATTTAATCTATTAGCTTAAAATTAAAACTAAAATAAAATTTCAAGTAAGATTTAGTTTTAAAAAAATCATTTTAATCCTTAGGTATTGCATTTTTTTTTTTTTCTGGAATTCCCTACATAAAACTGAACAGAGTAAGTTCTGCAACATTATTTCTATAAACAGAACCGAGTATTTTGTGTTTGTATGAATGACATTTTTCTTTGCAATGATAGCTAGGTAAAAAGGATATTCATGTTTTCTGTCTTCATCTACTTTACTGCGAGTTTCTTTTCTTTCAGGCTCAGCTTCACCTTTGTTTCCAGCCACTACAAGATAAAAAATAAAAATTTGTTAAACAAAATTCTAAGAAACAACAGCAAATGGAGCAAAAACAGTTGGTGATGCAGTCCAAAATTTATGTTTACACATAATATGCAAAGGTTTTTATTCAAATTTCAGCAATATTGCTTGCAATGCAACCATTAACAAGCAACTTTGAAAAGTTTTAATAGAACTAAATTATACTGAGAGTGCTGGAAGGATAACAAAGCTCTTAATTCAATGTTCATTTGTTAAATAAAGTCTACCATGAGATACTGAACACTTTAGTTAAAATAATTTAAAGCATTAGAAGAAAAAATACAATCATAATGGTTAAATTTAATGATATTTCAATACAAAAAGTTCAAAACTATTCATATAAGCAATATATTAAATTTATAAGTTTAAAAAAAAAAAAAAATAGAATAGTTTTAAAAAATAAAACTTATTTAGAATAAAAATGAAATTAAAATCTTACCAGTTTGAATTTTAACCCTAAATAATTTAGAGGTAAACTGGTCATTCACAGTAAATACATGATCTGGTTCTGAAGAAAGAAAAAAAAAACATGCAAGTTCAACATCAAGTTCTTTCTCATATATATATATATATATATATATATATAAAAAATTGTGTGTGTGTGAGATTGTGAATATGAAAAAAAAAAAAGATTATAGAATTTTGCAGGTGACTGAAATTTTTGACAGATTATCTGAAGGGTGAGATTTCAATTCATTTTTCTATGATTTGTGTCAATTTTAAATGTTTTTATGCTAAAAGTGAAAGATAGAGGAAAATGAGATGCATTTTCATCATCTGATCTGTATTTCCAAAAAGGTAAAAAAGGATACATGTGCCATTAATGGAGATGATGCTATAGCTGAGAGCATATTGTTTGTAAGTAGTTCACTAAGTTCAGATGTGCAAAGAATGTCCCTGCAGTCAATGACCAAATTGGAATGCTGATTAAAAATAATCTAGGTCACATGACTGTGTAGAGATACTCCATGTATCTTATAGTGTCGTAAAGCATTTAAAAAAAAAAAAAAAACTTAGATATGTCAATCACTACAATATTTGGGTGCCTCACAATTTAACAGAAAAAAAAAAAAAAAAAAAATCACATTTCCATTTGCAATTTCAGTTCGAATGTAACAAAATGTAATTTTGAAATTAATGATCACAGGCAATGAAAAATGTATTGTTTATAACAATGTGAAGTGTAAAAAGTGCAGAGAAAATAATTTGAGCCACCGTTAACTACTCCCAAAACCAGTCTGTATCTGAATAATATGATGCTGTGTATAGAGTAGAAATGGAAAGACATGAGTTATGAGCTGCTCCAGTAAAAATCAGACATTGAATTTAAGCAAGTACTTTTCCCAACAAGACCTATTAAAAGGCAGCAATCAATGAAAAGTGTTCAGAAAAGGGTATCATTTTCCATCAGGACAACACTAGATCTCATGTCTCTTTGTAGATCTAATAAGAATTGGTACAGCTTGGCTGGGATGTTCTACTACACCTGACCTTGTAGCTTTGGTGTACCACTTATTTTGATCCTACAGAACAATTTTCTAAAAACACATAAGAATCACAGACCAGTTCATTACACATGAACATGTCAAATTCTGAGAGAATGGAATCATGAAGCCGCTCCCAAAATGGTAAAGAGGTAGAACAAAATATCATATGTGCTTAAATTTATGTACAACTACTCTTTGAAATTCACACAAAAAACACTACAAACTTTTATACCAACCAATTTTATAACACAGAATACCAACCAATCCACACAGCCTAAAATATTAAGATTCTAATGTACAAGTTCAGAAAACAGATGCATATCTTAAAACAAAAAACGAAATGAATTCCTGTTAAATTCCTAATTTAAACATGAAACATTCATTAATCTAATTAGAAAACTTGAGGGAGGTGAAAAGGTTTTTGGAATTCAAACCAAAACTCTTTGAAATATGGCTATAGTCAGGCAAAGTAAATTTTAGCAACATTACATCTGCAGAGAAATATTTCATATTTCAATTTTGATTTGGAAAATTGTCAGCTAAATGAATTATATCAAATGTGCAGCAAAGATAAATACTTACCAATTTCTTTTGTTTTGGGGTCTTTATGAAGCACCCGCTGTGCTATCTTACCAACTGCCAGAGACTGAATGGCTCGGAGAAGGTCCTTTTCTGGGATATCTGTTTCACTCTTAATTTCCTGAAATGAGAGTATTTTTACAAGCAACTTGATTTGATTGCTAACAAATAGGATTGCTAATCTAAGAGATTAAGACCAAGTCATTTGACCCATAGAATTCTTCTAACTAGTCAAAGATTTTATTAAATGGAAAAAATTGAAGGTGATAGCTGGAATGTTGTATATATTTAAATCGATTTCCCTATCTACTAAAGACAAAACAATGTTTGGTGTTACTCAAACAAAGGCTTCATGCCAAATTGTAAGCGATGTAGAGTATGAGAATCATTCAAATAGATTATCTTTGGAAGCATTTTTGTATGGCGTATGGAATGGGATCCACATATGTAGCATACAATTGATACAGATTATAGTTCTCTTATATTCACATACAAAGATTTAAAACTGGAGTGACAATTACTTTAAATTCAGATAAAAAGAGATAAATTCAAGAAATTCAAATCACCACTCACCTCATAGGTCATTTTTCCATGAGTATTGAACAACATCAAGACACACATTTGAAATGTGGACACTTGAATAATGTGTTTCCGTGGGCCTTTTGATGAACTGGCACTAGCACCATCTCCATTTTCTTCTTTTCGAGGACCATAAAAACAGGCATGCAAGTCAGCAGAGCCTAGTTGAGGTTGTAACGTCAGCTGTCTGCCACTATGCTTTGCAAGGTAAAATCTAAGAAAATGGTCAGGGAGAGGAAAAACAAAAAAAGTTAAAAATTTATTAGGTACAAAAATATGAACCAACCCTTTTATTTTTTTTTTTTTTGCAGTTCATTTATAAATACTAATTGGAAAACTACATATAACTAATGATTTCATATTCTACATTACCTCCTAAAAGTTTCAAAGGCTGATCTGGGCGCATGGGGGATATTACATCTGGGTGGTGCTGATTGTGTAGGCCAGAAGCCTGTGGTAAGTACTCTGACAAAAAGGTCAACTCCTGATAAACTTGCCTGCAAAGAGAGATTTACAAAATACGTGTTGGTATAACTATATAATTTAAACAAGAAATTAAAATCCTCGAAATAAGAAAAAAAAAAAAAATCATCTAAATTTCAAAAAGACCGGTTGTTTCAATTGCCTATCTGCCACAAAATAGTGAAGATAAAGCAATATAAATTATAAACCTTATTTATATACAATATATTATTCTATAAATCATTAATAGGCATTACTTGAGTTTCAGTTTACCCACCAAGAAACATGCATTCAATTTTCCAGCTTTGTAGCTACTGGATGACTAAGACAAAAATTTAAATTTTCAATATTAATTTTGTTGAACTGCTTACCTTTTTGTTCCTCTATCTTTTTGCTATTTTTCAAACAACTTCATAATTCTATCCTCCCAAAACTGTTTATCTTTGTCAGCAAAGAACAGCTATAGGGCTTCTTTTTTTTTTTTTTTCTTCCACCATTAAAAGAAGAATGGTGCAATAAATAATTTGAAGGTAAAATATTTGGTGAATATTAATTTGCCGATTAAAAACTTCTAAATCAACCTATAACTTTCAGCTGGTCACCAAAGAAACATGTAGTCTAATATTATCCTGAAGGAATATTACACTCTTAACTAATTCCAAATACTTTTTGTTGATTGGTGCTTTCAGTTGCTTTAAATACGAGTTGCATTTGTTCAAATTAGTTATCTTTCTGGGATGAGCTCATAGATGGCATCCTTTCAATCACACTATATACAATAAATCAATTTCTAGGAACAATGAACTAGGTGATTACTTTCCCACAATCTCTCTTACATTTCACATTTGCAAAATATCAACTTTAATCACTCATTACAATTTGTTTTTAAAATGAAATGTAAATACAAGGCAGTAAGTCCTCCCTCATTTATTTGGAAGCCACACGTTAAAATTGATCGACATGACCAAGCTAGTACAAATGATTTTCAATACTTGATTTGGCCATTTTCAGAACATTGGAAATGGCCAATGTTGATTATTCTCATTATCAACCTCAACAAAATTATTATAGAGTGGCATGGAACTTCACAATTCACAAACCGTTAAGAAAAAATAAATAAAAGCATAGCAAGGAGACATATTTGGGATTCAATGTATCCTCTAAACAACCTGGCAGCAATGACCTGTGAATACTATATGAATGAAAAAAAAAAAAAGTACACATGACCAACACCAGGTTTACTATAAATCCATCCAAATAAATATTAAAATAAATCTCACTTACACCAGATTGCTGCAAGAAATTTTTGAATTCATCCATTGTGCTATTTGATACAGTCATGTCTTTGAACATTCCTTCCAGCTTGGAGGTGAACTGACAACCACATTCAGTCTGCAAAAGAGAGAGAGAAATTAAAAATGAATATTAACTTCAATTATTGTTATCAAGTACATTACTGAAGTGATCAGACACTATTCAACACCTTAATTTGAAGTACTATTTGTCTATGAAAAATAACTTTTCAGATGTACCAAATCAGCACAACTAGTTGACACTCCTTAAGTAACCAAATAATGCTGGTTAAATTTCAGTCACAAGAGCAAATAAATACCAAAACTTGAGTTCAAAATGTTAAAGTTGGCATTGAAAATAGTTTTTTGTTAAAAAATATATTTAAAAAAAAAAAAAAAAAAAAAAAAAAAAAAAACCACACACACACACAGGAACAATACAGCCAAGATGACAAATTAATAAAATTAAGAAGGAAAAAAAAACGGTCCTCAAGGACACACAGCCCAGTGGATAAACTAGACCCAAAGAGTTGAGTTCAATACCAGGCTACAGCTGTGATGAACCAAAATTTGGAGAGTTGAGTTAAAGAGCAATAACCGAGACATCCAGAAGAGGCATGGCATGTGGAACTAGAACAATCTACCCCAGTGGACAAAAAGGGTTCAGTTTGAAATTCCAATCACCTGAAGAAGGCCGGAGCATTCAACAGCCGAAGCATTGTAAATATGGCAACGAAGTTCAAATAATGCAAAGGTAAGTAAAAAGCTGAAGATAGTAAAGGAAAAAGGATCAACATATTTGAAGATTTTGACCAAAAAGTAACTAGAAACAAAAAAAAAAAAAAAAAAAAAAAAAAAAATATTCTGATGTCTTTGCATCTAACAATAAGTAACAGTACATTTTTCTGTTTTAGGATTTTAATGTTAAAGCATAATTGAAGAATCAAAAGGAAAATTAATGTATGCAGGACATACTTTTCTAATTTGATAAAATTAATCGTAAAGAGGAGAAAATAATTTTAGAAACATTAACATTCTGTTGGGGTGGCTGCACTTCAAAGCTTATGAACAGAAAAAAAAATTAAGCCTATTACAGACATGTAACTTTTAGGAGAGTTTTTAGTTGACATTTTCATAGATATTAAATGGGATAAACAAAACAAAAAAAAAACACACAGACACACACATATATATATATATATATATATATATATTTTGAACAATAAAAAAATATTAAAAAATTAAAATCTTCAGACACACTGGGTTGTAGATTAATATTCTTTCGTTTTTTTATTATTATTTCATTTAGATTCCTCGACTAGTTTCGGCCAAAATGGCCATCATCGGGAGAAGAAATATTTCTGCTTGCTGGTAGCAAACTACAGAAATGAATGTCGTGATGGAGAAAATGAACTTTTGTCTGTAGTTTTCATTTGTTTTTTTATTTTTTTTATCTTTTTAACATGAATCTTAACATTCCTTGTGTTGGTCAAACAGTCTCTTTTAAGTTGTTATTTGAGATAAGAGCTGGATGGATCTATGCTTCTCTGAATTCCCTTGGTCAGTTTGACAGTTTTATTGGTCCTGGAGAGGGATGTGTCTCTGTTAAGTGTTTTTGTGTGTGTTATTTGGTTCTTAGGGGTGAGTGAGTATGATATGTGTAGCGTGTGTATTGCTGTGGGTGTGTGTTATCATTTGGCTCATTAGGGAGTGAGTGAGTATGATGTGTGTAAGTGTGTATATTCGTGTGTGTGTGTGTGTGTGTGTAAGTGTGAAGCCTAAACACCTCCATATGCATGTGTCTTGTGTGGGTGAGAAATGTGGGTCGGTTTTGATTTGTTGAGTTATATATTAGTACTATCTATATTGTTAAATTTATGGTTTAGCCCGGCTGGATATTGTGTTTTTAGACGTTGTATCCACTTATTTTCATGGAACTCTAAAATCTTTCTAATGTTATCTGCTCATTCCTCACTGATAACATTATATGTTGGTTGGTTGTTTGGGGTTTTATGGCATATCAACCACTATGGGTTATTTAATGCCAAATCCATTTTGCACATATATATTAAATATATATATACTTTGTAAACATAATTTGAGGATTTTCTCAAAAACGTATAGCTGGCAACATCATTTTCTCAAAAACCTATAGCTGGCAACATCATTTTTCTGAAAATATTATCTGAGGCCTTGCTGTTGGACGTAGTTTATCGCCATACCCAGGACGCGGATGTAGTTTATCGCCATACCCAGGACGTGATAACATTATATTAATCAAATATATTTCCAACAAAGACAATGTAAATGTTTCTAAAAACAAATGCAACTGCTGAAAAAAATATGGTTCCATTGAAAATCCTCGGAATTTGTTTTTACCATCATCAAATGATGTTAGGTAACAAAACAGCACTGCTCTCTCCAAATATTTCTGGCAATGAAAGAATGATGGCATCTCACCATCAATCAATGGGGGATATAACAAGAGCTAAATTTTCTAACAGGAAAGGAAATAAACTTATGTATTGTTGAAAAAATTGGTTATCTTAAAACATTTAAATAATCCTAGCTTTTAAAGACAAATGAATTGATAGTTACATGTAGGCATAAAAATAAATATCTGCTGAAATACGTTGACCTAGATTAATTTTTAATATAAATTAGTTCAGTTTTTAGATAAATAACATTTTTTATATATGTGCGTGATTAATATAAAATAATCCCGACCTTAAATAAAATTAATTTCTTCCAGATGTTTTAGGTCTATTTTAATTTTTTTTTTTTTTTTTAATAAATACTATTAATTCCAGTTTATTTTAAATATAAACTCAAATATTAATCAAGAGAACACTGGTTCAAACCCTCCTAGGAGACACATTAAGACTCAAATGCAAAGACTGGTAGACATATTTAAAGTTTAAAAAACAGTAATGCCTACACAAAACATCTATCCATTAAGCATAAGATTAAAAGTAAATAAATCAGAGAATTCATGGAGATGGGTAGGTAGGTGTGTATATATATTATATATATATATTTGGATCGTATTTACGATTCCAATGGAATAAATTATGACCATGGAATATTAGTGTTTAAGCCTTTTTATTATATATATATATATATATATATATGTATATAAATAAAAAGAAAGAACAGTAAGATATAAGATCCGGTGTTCTTATAGATATTTTATTTTTACAAAATAGTGCTCAATGTAAATTTACAGAGCATTAATATTATAAATTAATTGATTTAAAATATGGTTATTTTCGCTATAAATTAATTGATTTAAAATATGGTTATTTTCGAAAATAACCATATTTTAAATTTTAAATATATATATATATATATATATATATATATATATATATATATATATATATATAAGCATGAAATGTCCAGTAACTATCTTTGATCTTAGATGAACAGAAAATATGTTTGCCTAGCAAAGAGGGGAAAAACAACAAAAACATGTGAAGAAAAAACTCGGACCCACAAATACTGAGAGGAGACTGTATTTACAAAGATAAGCAGTGACCAAATTATCTGCTCAGATACAGAAAGAGTCAGATAGGATTAAATATTGGTATTCTATAGTATTAAAAATAAGGCAATGTCAATATAAAAGTGATAATAGCTGTATTGGAAGTATGAAAATTCTTTTTATTTAATGTTATGTAATTGTTCATGTGGAGGAAATTATAATATTTAAAATTAATAAAGTAGAAAATTTAAAAAAAAATTTGAATGAAATATAAGCACAACTGGCAAATGTGCAACAACATAGTCACCAAAGTCCTGATGATGTCAGTTTCCTCACTTTTGCAATTATTTTGAATCAATTTTTGCAATTCTTCAATACACATCCATTCAAAATGGAAGATATGAATATTAACGCATATCACAACTATTGACACTTGGAATGGATTCAAATTTTTGAGAATCTTAATAGTGTAAAAAGCCACAAAATTGTAAAAGTGGCTAGCTGATTCTAGCTTCTATGGATAAACACATAAAAAGGTGTACAACTAACAATACTTCAGTTGTGCAAAAACTTGAATGTTTAGGTCAAGCATCTACCCATTTAAGTTTTGTGTAAAAAAAAAAAAAAAATTGCAAAAATGAAGGTGCAAAGAATATTGAAGATTTTGAAATTTTAGAAGATGGAAAATACTGTTCCAATCAATGAAGCAAATGTATTGCAATTAGAACTGCAAGAGAAGCTCATTCTATCTTTTCAAAATGGATTCTTGAATATCATAAACAAAGAATTTGTCAAATTTTTTGGAAGTCACTATTAAGAAATTAAAGATGGAGCAGTGTTAAGTATGAGATTTCTTAAGCTGAAACAATGAATCCCAAAAACATTAAGAGTAAATTATTTCAACAAGGTGACTTCAAAAGTGTTTAATTTTAGAAGATATCAGTAATGTGCTTTATACCCTTGAGTTCTTAAGGGCTTGTGTCCAAGATGTGCAACATTTAACTGATGAAGTCTCCAAGTTCATTACAAAGAAAAGAAAGTCAAAATAATTTAAGACAAATTTTAGGTTTAAATCTCTTTATAGCACTAGAATTTTGAAAAAAAATAAATAAATTGAGTTTAATACCTTTCCAAAATTGTATCCAAGAAAACTGCAGAGAATTTCTTTTTAACAAATTTCTCTGAAGTTAAAGGACAACTGTGGAATGTAGGAATTGAGCAGTAACCTACCTTATCAACAAAGGAACCAACTGAATGTTGCCTATTTTTTTTTTAACCAGGTTCCTTATTAGTAAAAGCAAGAATACAGGCAAAAGTGTTATGGCTGATTTGCATGCTACACATGGAATAAACTTTGCTTAATAAGAATGCTGACCAAATGAGTTAGTGACATGAAAAAGTGAGGATTAGAAGCTACTGAACACTATTACAAGCTATTTTATCTGAAAATGATGGACAGCAAATTCAACCAAGTCAATCCCAGAGTGTGGTTCATCCATAGCTAAATGGGTTGAAGAAGCCAAGCTGATGTGCAGCCTGCACACAGTAAAATGGATGGAACAAGTTCTCCATCTGCTTCCATTAAGGATGTGCATTTGCCAAATACCATTAGAGATAAAGAATGGTTTATATGCTGCCCTTTTCAATGGATTCATTTGTGGTGTATGTATGAGCAATTTGTATCATGGTAGTGGCATATGGGTAAAACGAGATGTATACTTGGCAGAATTTCAGAAACTAAGATGCTTTTTGGAGGGATGCCTGAACAGTGTCTGGTATGCATGTTTATAGCAGGATTACTGGGCTATGTAAAGCATGTAAGTTACATATATATATATATATATATATATATATATTTTAATTGTTTGGCTGAGAATGTAGTTTACAAGGCCACAATAACAAGTAATAATGACACTAAATATTATACTGGTGCTGCTGGAGGGATGGGGTGAAAAGACAGACTATAATAAAATGAACCTCAATGAAAAGTACAAAAATAACTTTCAGGCTATTACTGGAAGCAAAAGGAAAATAGCAAAACCAACCCCAGACCCTACAGTGTAAAGGTTGCAAACATAACCAAAATCTATCAGGTAAATGAATATTACAGAGTATGTCAATTAAAATATGCTCAACAAGTGGCAGAAGTTAATGTTCGTATATAGACATAGAAATAAGTTCCTGGTGAAAAACAAGTTTAGGTTGAGTAGGATAGTTAAGAAAAACTTTCAATGAGCAACAAACAATAGCCATTTTCCTTCCTCTCTCCTAATAAATAGCTCCTTCACTTTGACAACACTGTACATTTAGTTCCTTTTATTGCAAAGTGAAGATAGCAGAAGTGGTGCATGAAACTAACAGTAGCAGAAAAGTAAGAGTAAAAGCATTAATTTAAAGCTCTGTATTTTGTTTTACATTGAGTATTTTTGCTTTTCTACATGTACACTTTTTGTACAAATATATAGGCAATTGAAAACAAACTGGTTTTATTCTTCATCTGAAATTCAAACAAAAATGTTTAGGAATTTTACAACTTACCAATTAACAAATTTCAAAGAGTCAGTGGTTGGTAAATTCCATTACAAAAGGCATTTTATAAAATTTATACTTTATTTTTCATCATTGGAAACCTTACCTTCAATTTGGAGATCATGTTCTTTTCTGAATCATCAGAGACACTTTTGTTGAGCAGTAGTCGTTTAGCTAAATGCTGTTTGTAATACCTCTCAAAGACATCTTTTTCTTGTAGAAAACGGAATAGAACCATACTTTTATCAAGTACATTTTCTATTTCCTGTTCTGACATCTTAAAAAAAAAAAAAAAAAAAATACAATAAAGAAATTAGTTACAAGTACTTTTCAAAAGCAAAATAAGAATAATCCATAAAACTATTTTACTACATTTACAATTGAATCAAAGATTGGATAAGTATTTTTTGCATTTGGTAGCAAAATTTAGCATGATCTCATATTTTAATACTTTACAATAAAGTGAACCCAAAGTTATGTGAAATCCAATATAAAACTTAGCAAAGAAACATTTCCAGATCTAAAATAATTCTAATACTTAAAAACAAATATTTAATGTTACAGTGAAATCTTTAAATATTTATACTACATTTAGACCAACAATTAGCTGCAGATTTTCTCATTACATATTTTAAGTCTGTCCATGAAAGAGAGAAACACAAAAATATTGTACACATGCATTAAAACACTCAGTGTTGCCATAAGTCATGAAAATGAAAAATTATAACCCCCTTCCACCACTTTTCACAAAGTCTGCAGGTTAATTTAACATTAAATCAGAAAATTTTGTTTAAACTTTCTCACATTTTAGATTTATTTAAGATTTATCTACAAAAAAGGTCAACTTACCCCTTTCACACCTTTCTTTAATTTATCATCTATGAAAAGTGAAAGATATTCTGGAGATCGTGTATTCAAGTTGATAAAGTATTCAAAATCACCAGATATAACCTGTTTGAATTGCTTATCATCATTGAAAGACTCATGAAGGAAGTGATCAAACCTGTCCTTAAGGTCCAATAAACTCTGCAAAATATCAAGCCATGTCACAAAGTTGACAGGAAATATTCTATACAGTTGGATTTGGCATAAACAAAACAGTTAAAGAATTTCTTTTCATGGATGTGTCAGACAAAAGTAACAAAAGCCAACCAAAGAAAGTAGTTAAAGTCAGTTTTAGAATAGACAAGCATTTTAGTAGTTTTAAGATGCATACATACAATCCTACCAGTGAGCGCATTTTCACAAATATACAGGCCAGTAGATGAAACAAAATGCCATTTAAAATAAGCAGTGTGTCTACTCAAATATGTATGAGTATCCACTAAAAATAAAGTTTATATATATATATATATGAAAGAGAGGTTTGGTAGTATAACTATTTCCAGCAATGATTGAAGAAAAAACAACAAATAATGAAGAACTATCAGAATATTATTTAAATACATTATATGATTTAGCCATCTGATAATTATGATATAAAAAAGATGATCAAGGGAAGTTGATGACATTAATCAGTACTAAATCAGTTGGGTTTCAGTCCCAGCCTGAAGCGATCTGATGTCTAGCCACACTGATGAGCAGTGGTACTGCAAAACTGTCTATGGATGATGACATTAGCTCTTGATAAAATAATTTAATCAGTTGAGCACTGTAGGGAGTAAAGAGTTAATTTGTAAACTGTCACTATTACTGGTGATAATGTAAGACTCTCCAAGCTGATTGAGTTCTCTAAGTGACTGGTGTGTTTATGGAAAAATAAATATGCAAAAATTCACCTTTCTCTCTGCCAGGCATCAATGGGGAATTAGAATATCCGATTGATACTAAATCAGTCAGGTTTCGTTCCCGGCCTGCAGCAATCAGAAATCTAGCCACACTGATGAGCTGTCATACAGCAAAACAAAAGTCTGGATTTTATATATATATATATATATATATATATATACACACACACACAAGATGTACAAATTGGTCAGAACACTATTTTCAAAATGAGCATGACTAAGATTGTAAATAGAATAGAGAGAAACCTTGATCTAAATTTGTACTCATAAAGCATAAATCTTGTACTTTATATCATTTACAAATACATTAATGTAGAAAGTGTAAGCATATTAAAATCATGTTTCTAAGAAAAGCTATATGCATATGTCAGTTGTGAAAGCCATGACCATTATTGATTTTTAATTTATCAGAATAACAAAATTTACCCCCACTCCTTTTATTTTTTAAATAACAATTAAGATATGATAAAAATTACTAAATGTTAATGGTATGTATGTGCAAAAGTCCCTAGCTTTTTTCTATCTTTTTGAATTAGAAATTGAGCACAGAAAATTTTGCAGAACACACCTAATGTCTTGATTACAAAAATATCCTAAGTAAATCTTGCTTTCAACTTTTTCACACTAAGCGCAAAAAAAAAAAAAAAAAAAAAAAAAAAAAGTTGAAAAACAAAATTATTGAATATATAGTTAAACATGACTGGAAAGTTGAAAATTAGGTTGAATGACATTTTTCTTTTTTTAAAATAAGATATCAATACAATTCTTCTAGAGAAATATACAGGATTATTCAAAAAGAATGAACAGATTTTATGACACATTGCTTCAGTTCTCAAGCATTGTCATAGAATGAGTCTGTGACAGTTTGAAAGAGGACTTTTCTAAGTTTGCAATGGCTGCCACAGGGGTGCTGTAGTTGTGTCACAGCTGTTTGAGGTTTCTGAACTTAAATAAAGTCAATTCAGGTTTCCTATGGTAAAAATTTTCTTTCCCCAAGTGAAAATCCTCACAAAAATGGCAAAAGTCATTTTGTCACAGCTTATTTTCTCTCAAAAAATGGATTTTCATACTTTTATAGGAGTAAAATATTGAAAAATGACCGTTTTATCATCACCTAAACTAATATCAAGGAAACTTTTGATCTGAACCCCATTAAACTAGGTATTTTCTGAAAGCAAAGGATATATTCTTCCATCTAAAAGTAAAATTAGCTGGTATAAATGACTCAAAATTTTTTTCAGTGGGTAAAATGTGAAAAAAAATAGTGAAAATTTTGCATTTTTTTCTTGTTCTAAACAAATATTTCCCCCATTAATGGGAAATTAACCATTTTTTTTTTTTGAAAATCAGAAAGCCTAAATCATAATCAAACTATTTCAGGCATAGAATTGAGAGTTTTGAAGGAAATCAACATTCCTAGGGGTTCAAAATGCAACAAAATCCATTGGTAATTTTCAATTATATGACTGCCAAGGGTTAAAAAAAATTGACACCCGGCCATGGAAAAAGATTTATCTGCAATTCCTAACCACCAGAAACCAAAAGTTTTTTAAAAAAAAAAAAAAAAAATAGCAGTGATAAGGAAAATTAAGCCTAATTGACATCTAGGTCAAAGGTCAGCCAGCAATAAACGGTAAACCTTAGAACAAGTTGTAATAAAACCCACCACTCCCAGATAAAAGCAAAGAGTGAAAAAAAAAGGGTTCAACATTACTAGGGCTTGATAACCTATGTTTGAACAATGGCTTGATGAGTTTTGTTTTGTTTTTAACACCTCGTGACCCAGGTGATGACAACAACACTTAGCAGACAACATTGGGTTTTTTCGCCGCATATCTTTTGTATTTCCCATCGCCGGTCCATTTAGCCGTTCCTTTTTATTCAATGATGTTCATGCCAAATGAAAGAGAAAGGAATGAATTTTGAATGATGTTATTTTGAAGCGAAAATAAGTATTTTTTTCATTAAAAAAAAAAAAAAAGAAAAGAAAAAAAAGGGGGGGGATTTTTCTCAGAAAATTGGGCATAATTTCTTAATGCTAACCGCCGAGTGACATTTTCCACAGCCAAATCAAAGATTAATTACCAGTGAATAATTCCATGTGAAAACAACAGACGTCTGGATCCTATAACGTCGCCCTAAAAGGGTCCAGAAGTTTACTAATTGGTCGAAAACCTGTTGTGCATAATTGTATTTTTCACGGTCAGTTTCCATTATTTCATCTTGATATTATCATTTTCAGACAGCCAAGTCATCAAGGATTCAGGAAAACAGTTTGGCATAGGTTTTCTTTAAGAACTTTACATTCTATGAGGTGTTTAAAATGTTACTGACGAATGAGATTTTTTGCCGAATATTTCATTTACGTGCCATGTTGGATTTTCCTATATGACAAAAACAAAGCTTTTAAACTGCTGTGGTGTCATATGTCCGGCAATGTTCAATTGTTTGTTTACCCCCAGAATGGAGAGTCCTCAGCAAAAGGCCTTCTGCATTCTTGAGTTTGCAAAAACAAATATGGTTATCACAGTGCAGCATGCTTTTCAAAGGCAATTCAAGATTAATCCACCCTCTCCAAAGAACATTCAACAGTAGTTTAAACAGTTTCAAGTGAGTAGGTGTCTGTAAAGGAAAAAGTCCAAAACAAACATGAGTTTCAGAGGAACAAGTGAGAATCCATGTTGCATTTGAGAGGAGTCCATGGAAATCCACTAATCAAGTTAGCTGTGATCTTGCAATCTCTCAATCCACTATCTGGCGTGTGCTAAGAAGACGTCTACATTTGAAAGCTTACAGACTACACCTTGTTTAGACACTTACCAAGACATTGTTCTTTGTGCTTGGCCTGCAAGATCCCCAGACCTCACCGTATGTGATTTTTTTCTTGTGGGGATACATCAAAGACTGTGTTTATGTTCCATTGCTACCCACTAACCTCGATGACCTTGAACATAACAGCGATCAACCCAGTGGCTCATGATATGCTGATACACATCTGGCAGGAATTCTCTTATCACATTGATGTTGCCCGTGCTGCAGGTGGTGCCCACACTGAACACTTGTAAGACAGAAAATAAAAGTTGATTGTGAGTAGAATACTTGTAACTTGGCTGGAATTTTCCATTAATTTTTTTCCTTAAAATATTGTGAAATCAGTTCATTCCTTTTGAAAACCCTGTACAGTATGAAAATTATTAAAATTGAGATGTCAGTGACAAAGGTCAAGTGTTTTTTGGTAAGCTTATGTTGTTATCTATAATACTTTTATGCTATTGCAGATCTGTTTAAAAGATTTAATATAGGAGATAAATCAGTGACTTTCATACTTTCTATCATAAAGAAAAAGCTTTAAAGAGTTAACACTTTCAGTAGATAAACAATAGAAAAATACAAATTAACATTATTTTAAAACTTACCTGGATGTAAGAGATGGCATTTTTTCCATCTTCTCCCTCTTCAGAAACAAGTGCTTTTCCTTGTTCTCTCAAATAGGCACTGCTGCAATCACACATGGTTTTCAGTCCCTCTGGCACTCTTATAAATAGTTTATACATACAAGCCAGATCTAGAAAAATATAAAACAGTTTTAAGTGAAACTTAAAATATTACATTCAATTACTAATTACTTTTTAATTTGAATAATCTATACTAAAGTAACATTTTTTCCAAGCAATTGATCATGAAACAATTTGAAGAAATATAAACTTAAAAACAGCACAAATATCAAAAACATTAGTTACATCTTAAATGTAGAAAAAAAAAAAAAAAAAATGCTACCAAATATTGAATATTTTGACATGAAAAATTTTATCTTAAAATCTTATTTAACTACACTGCATATTAACATTCTTACATAAATACAATTTTTAACATTAGGTATCCAATTGACTAGCTTTTAATATTTAGAAAAATCCAATGTCTTTTTATTGAAATTTGTAATAAACAAGAAAAAACATGATCTGCCAAGTATTCTGTACTGCCTTTTTTTCTTTTTAAAATGAACAGGTTAACATTCATTGGTAGCTCGACTTCAAATGACAAACTATCAAAATTATGTTTTGCAATTAGTAACCTGCAAGATAGAAAACAATTTTTAAAATATTCAAGCAATAACTTACCATCAGTCTTATTATTTTTTAACATGTGAACCACACCAGAATTCTCCATCTGAAATTTATAAATTATATCAAGAAATTTAAAATATAACCAGTAACATCCAGTACCATTGATTCTATAATCAAAAGTCTTGTACAGTATAGGAATATAATTTTTTAAGCCAACTTATCTATATTTTCATTAAATAAATGATCTTAATCCACATATTTTCAAAAATCCAAATATTACCATTAACAGTTAAAAGCTAATACATGCAGATTATATGATTAACCTATTAACTGCAGATAACTGAAATTTTCATCAATGCAGTTTTATGAGTTAGCATACAAATGAAAATGTTGCCAATGTTAATGGGTTAATTACATAATATTACAATAAACTCAATGTTATTATGAGATGAAGTAATATTTGTGTACATTCACTTACTTCACAATTTTTGTTTCAAGGAATGGTTAAAGAAAATAACCTTTTAACACAGGAGAAAATAAACTTGATAAACTTATGCTATCCCTTAAATTGAAACTAATTGTGAATGGAAACATTCAACTATGTAATTTAACTTTATAGGTAAAAATTTGAGAACAAAGAGGCAATTAAGATAAAATAAAAATTTCTATTACTTGGGCTATTTAGAGCATCACCAATTACTTTATACATATATAAGTTACATACTTGAGAGTTACAATGCATCCATTTTGTATTGACTAGATAGTGAAACTTTAATAACATAAAATTTTTATATTCTTAAAATGTCTATATGCAAAAAAGAAATCCTTAAAATACAAACTTACCTCCACAATGGTTTTCATGTGTTTTCTAATAAGTTCTTCTTCAAGTACCTACAAAAAAAAAAAAAACAACAAAAAACAACTATAATAAATCACAAGATTAATAGAATATTTGCATATACCAAAATATTTTATTTATGTTGGTGGGAGCATAGAAAATTAAAAGTATTAAATTTGTTTTTTCTTTAAAATATTTAAAGAGGATTTGGTTAATTATGACTAAAATTGTCAAGAAAAAAAGTTTTGGCAAGAATCCAGTTTTTCATCATACTATGAATTTATGTTTTCACACAAATACCACCAAAGAGTCAAGTTTCACAAAAGGTAAAGTAAACCAAAATCATTTGGATTAAAGAAAATATTTCCAGGTATAAGTTTGAACTTTCTTTAAATTTCACAATTAACCACGAGACTATCAATTTCAGTACATTTGGTTTCAAATGTCAAGCTATATTCAATATTATGAGAATTTCTACATTGTAATATTTCCAATCAGAACTTAAATATCCTTGTAAAAGTTTAAAATTTCTTCAGAGAAATTTAAAATAGCTAAAATAGAACTACACTTTTGTAAATATTAATGTATCCGCATGCAAAATACTGTATTTAAATTAAGTGACATTCTCAAATGTTTTGCAAACAAACATCAGCATGAATTATTTTGTGAAAGTTATTAGTTAATTTAATTAAATTTCTTCATATCATTTCAGTTTGACAAAAAGAATAAATACAGTGATATTTTAGTATAATAAAAAAAAAAAAAAAATTATCACTAATGTTAAAAAAAGAAACATTTCCATACAAAAATAATTGTATTGAAAACAATTTGATAAAACATTACACTAGAATGAACATTCTAGCAATGACAATACTTTGCAGGTTCCAATTCTAAACATGTATCTGTTGAGACGGACATCTGTTTACAATTTTCCCATAATCTAAGTATAGTCTTTAAATTTCATAAATACAGATTTTTTTTTTTAAACTAGATAAGTAAAGGCAAGTGTACTGACCTACTCAAAAAGATGGATAGTGAATTTTCCATACCAATTATTTAAAATTATAAGCTAATGGTTAAAATGAAAATTTAAAAATTTGCGTAACTACTATTTTTTTTTTTTTTTTTTTTTTAAGATTCATATATTCTTTAGCACACTTGTCTGCCCTTAATTGCATTTAGGTTAATAAGGACTTTTTTTACAATTTTATACTGTAAATACATTTTGAAGAAACTCTTCAAATAAGAATTATAAAATTAATGCAGCATAAAAATCTGACATAACATTGCAGCCAAAACTTTTTATCTGAAAAATTTAAAGTACATTTTTCTCTTTTAAAACTATAAAAGTTTCTACACTAATATCTGTTAAGTATCAGCAAAAGAAAAGAGCGAGGAAATAAGATTTCTAAAACATCTTACTTTAACTATAGGTTCTTCGGTTGATTTATCTAAATAATGCGTTGCTCTTTCAGCCTCCTCATTGATTCGAGCTTCAACCTTTTTAATGTAGACAGATGCACTGTTTTCCGCCAAAAATTTCTGACTCTCAAGCTAAAAAAAAAAAAAAAAAAAAAAAATTACAAATGGAAAAATATAATACATTCAAGAGATATGACAACTCAAAAACAAAACAAAAAAAAAACTTTCAAATTAAACAGATGTTCAAAAGTACCAGAGCAAAATAGACACTACCTAGCTACTCTGCATTTTAAAACAGAAAAATTATAACAACAGTTAATGTGTAACTTTTTTAAATTAATAAAAATTCTATAGGTTTAAGTTAATTATGACATCACTAAAATTTTTTAGTTCAAAGTAGAAAGTTTGAGAGAACTTGAGATGGGGTATTATTATACGCAGATTTAATGGGACAAGTTTCCTTGTCTTGGCTGTCAGTAATGTGTTTGCCTTCTTTAAGTATCTATTGTGATTTAATAGGTGAGAGATTGAGAATATCATTTAAATTTTTATAATAAAAATGTTTAAACATTTACCAGTTAAAATATATTACAACAAAATTCATGATTTCAACAGCTTTAGAGAGGATTGCCATCTCATTAATTGTGCATCACTGAATTAGTTTTCAACTTGTAAATGAGCATGGCCTCTGAAGTGGCTTAGCATAGCTTGAAACATGTGACATACAAAGGAGGTCACCATGACAGGATTTATTGAATCAAATTAAATAACATCATCCTCATGGACCTTCATGTGTCTTTTCAGCTCAAGACTGGATTTACAGTTTTTGCCACACACAAATTTTCAGCTAGTGTTGAAGGAAGGCTATCAAGATGATGTGTAAGAGAATTGTCATAAGATTTAAAGCAGTTGACATAACCAGATTTCTATATCAGGACACAATGGCAAAGATTACTCCCCACAAATGAAAAGTCAGAAACGGCTCCCCTTTCTAAAACCATGCTTCAACTTTTCATTCCCAATGCAGCTTCACTCAAGAAGTATATTACCATCTTTAATAGATTTTTTTCTATTCATCTGTCACTCAGATCCCTATGAAAAGCTATGTTTTCCTTGGAATACTCAATCTCTTTTTGCATCTGTGTTGTTCTTACCAACTTTGAGCTTACAAGAAAACAGATGCTTAGGAATCCATGAATTCTGAATACTAAAAACATACCCAGCCTATCTCATCAGAGTCAAAACAATCATGGGTTTAATACTTCTTCAGGTAAAGAGTTCTATAATCTTGGTGTCTACCATTTGATGCTGAGAATCCATATCAAACATTTTTGATGGAAATCACCTAACCAAATTAAGTGTCTACAATGTCTGGCACAGGTCCCAGTAAAGCAGAGAGGTAAGTACACATGCATTGACTGATGACCAAAATCAATGAAGTCAATGTTTATAATGCGTGTACTTTATACTAAGTATGTCCACTGTTTTCGCGGAAAAACAGCATAGCGTAAATGAAAAATGCCACAAACTTAAAGAAAATAAAGTATTATCGTCAAAATGCTTATGTTATTATTTAGATGAAAGAAAAAAGTATTTTTTTAATTTTTTTTTTAAATTTTTAATATTTTCTAACACGTTCGAAATTTTGGTTAAAATCGTCTTTATTTTACATCATCGCGGTGACGTTTAAAATAACAGTTTTTTTTTGCGTTTTTTACCGTTGAAAACATATTGATTTGGAAATTCTTGTAAAATAAAATAATTGTCCAATCTTAATGAAATTTTCAGGACTTAATCACAAATGAATGAAATTATTTTTCAGAATATTTTGTTTTTAGAAAATTTTGGTAAAAAATTTTTTTTTAAATATGTTACCCCCATTTAGTTAATTTCATGAAATTTCGCCTTAAAAACCTTTTGGCTCCTCAATTTTATTTTTTTGTTAAAAGAAGGAGTCTTTGGAGATGGTAAATAACCTACTTTTCTTTCACAAATTTGAGCTACTTAACTGAAAATTTTGTCTGAATTGAAAAATAATGAATCCAATAAAACTCTGATATTACTTAATTAGAAAAGCTTTTAATTGCTTTTGTAAATAAGTAATAATAAGGACATTATTGTCTGAAGAAATAATTTTTTCTGATGAATAATTAATTTTACAAGAATTTTTCGTTTTTAAGAAATTTTAATTATAATAATTTATAATAGTTTAACATCGTGTAAAGCTCTGTATTAGGAGGGCTCCTCAATATTATGTAGTAATTAAGTAAAAAAAAATTTACGAATCCAAAATTGCTAAGTTTAATAAATTTAGTTGAGCTACTTTTTTAAAATAATTTTTTTATGTTGTATTTTTTTACTTAATACATTCCTTATTTCCATGTATGATATACAGAAATTGCCATTATTATAACAAGGTCACGTGATCTAAGGGTTTTGTCCCTTTACGTGGCCTTTTCAAAACATTTTGTTTCTTATAAGTCGTATTTTCCGTTCAAAAGTGTAAACTTTAAATTTTAAATTATTTTTTCTTTTTTTCATTTACTATTTCACTAAATAATTTTATTTTTTATGTATTGTATTGTGTGTGTCATACTCAAATAGAATAATTTTTTTAAAACTCAGACTTAAAAATTATGTCATTTATGGTCATCAGTAGTAGCTGTCATCGCCCGTCAATCAATCATTATCAATAAGATCGAACAACTGAACGGGACCAATCGTTAATAATTGGTTGTATATTATTTTTTATGCTATAAGTAACAAAGATTTCTTTGAAATCAGATTACTTTTAACTTTAAATTTTTTAATTTTACTAAAATAACGTGTCAGAATTTTTTTTAAATATTTTAAAAATCGATAAATTTGTGTTTGCTTACAAATTTCTTAAAATTAAGAAAATGGCCGTTTTAAGAAAATTTAAAAATTGAAAATAAAATTGACAATCAAATGTATATAGTTTCTATCTGAAATACACCAGAATTGTTTAATTAATAGAAATCATAAATTTAGTTATTAAATTTTCAATTAAAGCTAAAATGAAATCTTCAAGAATGTTTTTCATTGTAAAAAATTCATTTTAAACTTAGGTATCGAAAATTTATGCCGAAATAGTGGAGGTACTTACTTTATACAAAAAAAAAAAAAAAAAAAAGTGTTCTAAATTTATAATTGAGCTTATATTTATATAGATCAAACATTTATTACTCATTTAATATAAATTGTTAACTTAAATTTCGAGCAGGATTTTTCAAAATACCAATACTTACTTTGTAAAATTCTGCTGACTGGTCAAGGAAGGGTCTTTCAAAATCCTCCTCATAGACAGATCTAGCATCAATTCCTAAGACCATTAACATCTGACAGGCATTTTTTACAGCACCTCTGAAATATATTTATGACTGTTTTATTTCAAGTTTTTAATGAATGTAAAAGTCAAATTGAAATTTTACATTTAGCTTTAGAAATAATTTTGCGATTGTAATTAACTACAGTAAATTATCAGCATCTTAAAATCTGTGATATTAACCAAATATCACTTCCAATAAAAAATATTTTTCATATAAAACTGCTTACTTTAATCAGTAATATTTCTCATTTTACAAGTATTTTTATCAACAGGCTAGTAACTACACACTTAAAAAAAAATTTAAAAAAAATAAAATATGAATTTGACTTTAATGCATATGAATTTTCAACCTACAGGATTCATGCAATACTCTTAACAACTTTAACTCAAACTGTTTTTCATTATACAAGCAAAAATAAAAAGCAAATGCAGGACTGCTTTCTCAATATGTACAAGTTGTGTCAGAAAAGAAACAGAACTGTAGTCACAAAAAATTTGTCAAGTCCAAACTACAAGTTTTCCCCTTCAAAATTACCCCCAGAGTCTAATACACTTTCCCATCATTCACCACACACACACAAAAATGCACATTCCTGGAAGCATTCTCCCGGGATTCTCTGCAGCCCCATGGTCACAGCTCTCTCAATGGTTTACCACATCAGGAAAAATGAGTCCCCTTAATGATGCCCTTTAGCTTTGGGAAAGGAAAAAATAACAGAGCCAAATTAACTCAGATGAGTAGGGTGGTTGCTCCAATAAGACAATATTGTACTCATCAAGAAACTGCCAGATGCTCAGGACAGCGAGTTGGTACATTGTCCTGACGAAGCAATCACAAGTTGTCCTGCCACAACTTTCACCTCTTCTCACACACTGAACAAAGCAAATGTCACAGGATCACTTTGCAGACATGTTGGCTTATTGTCTAACACAATAGAAAGAACTATGTGGATGATGTTCTTCACACCAAAGAACATGATCAGCACAAATTTGGACTTTGGCCGTCTTGCTTTCTTCGGCATTGGCAACTCTGAAGGTTCTGGCATTTGGTCTCCAAGTTGTACTCAAAGATCCATGACTCATCACCAGTGATGACTCTCCCTAGCAAGTTTGCTTACGTTTCAAGTTCAAGGATGTCCTGACACACCTGCATGTACTGCTCCTCCTGGTCACCACTCAACAACTTCAGCACCATCTTCCACATACACAAATCTTAGGTGACAATCTTCTAGATGCTGTGGCATTTTATGCTGAGCTCAGTTGCGATCAGTCAATCAATCACCTGGCCTCACACACTCAACGCCGGCCTAAGTTCCGATTGTTGAAAGCCTTCCACTCCTGAGGTCATCTTTCATGTTTTTGCCTCCCTCTTTGAACCTCTTGAAAACACCATCAGAAGTCACACCCAAGTGTGACATCATCTCATCTCCATACAATTGCTGCAGCAGTCAGTGTACATATGGAGTTTTCCCCACTGGAGCAGAAACTTCAGATTGTTTCATTGCTCTACCCATTGCTTAATGGCCTAAAATCAAGGAGCTATTAATAAAAGCACATGAAAAAAAACATACAATAACTGCAGAGAGCTGAAATCAGTTACATACTTCCCAATATTATGTTACACAGTGATGCAACCTGCTAATTCCTACAGCACTCATAGCTCCTGCAGCACACTAAGTCTAGTTACTTTTCCGACACACCTCATTATTTCTATTAGCTGCAAAAATAGCAAGATTTTTCAAGTTTAAGTGCCTTCTCAAATTTAGTTTTTCATTTAAACTTATAAACATTTGTTTCACCCATTGTACCAATAGATAAAGAAAATCTTTAATATAACTGAATCAAATAAAAGTAGCATAATGTTCATAGCTAAAAGTAAAGCATCCTCCTCTCTCCCCAGGGTTGGCCCAAATCAAATTTCAATGTAGCCAATCATACAATTGCACATTTGTTAAATAATTAGCAAAGCAACATTTATCAGTTCTGAGAAATCCCCACATGCTCTACATTTCAGAAAGAGGGTCAAGTGTTTCTTTATTTAACCATTTTACTTGTCTATGCTTTTTTTTTTTTTATTAAATCCATTTCTATGTTTCTACTTGCTGAAACAAGAATAATCACAATGATTGAGCTTTTAGTAAGAATGGGACTACAATCTGTCAATCAAATTACTTCATTAAGTCTATTATCATGAAGAGAGAAATACTTCAACATTGAGGTTCTTGCTAATCTGAGACAACAATTTACTTAGTTTCTAACACCATGACAAAATATACATGACAGTACACACTGTAACATGTTTGTGTCTGTAGAATAAAACATTCTATTTGGTAATGTACCACCTATTATAATGTAGTAACAGTTGTATTTTCACATTGAATAAAAGAAAAATCTCCTTTGGTACTTTCAGGATTTAATACATTTAAATGAAAGTGATACACAATATATAATAAAGGATAATCATATCAGCAATTATTCTACTTTACTACAACTGTTTTTAGCTTTTGCAATTTCAAAGTAAGTTATTCATGAAAATAACTTTCAGATTTTGTTTGAAATGGAGTTTTAGGAAGAAACTTCAATTTATACGTCTATTATATGAAATTCTCATACAGAATAGACTAGAAATCATACTTTCATTCTAATCAAGTACCTATCGACTTACAAGGATTTACCTACAAGCAAATGGACTATATTTTATTAACAGCTATCAGAGCAGCACTACATTTCAATGTATAGAAGTGATTTCTCAAACTTATTTTAATTTGGCAAATTTGTATCTGATATTTTGAATATTTTCCTACAGTTAACAATTCTAAATATCCTGTTAATTCCGAATGTGCAATATCTACAGAATGTAATGTGGAGCTTTTATTAAAGACTTACAACCAAATTCAAACCACTAAAACAATATGGTTTGTTTGTTTGTTTGTGTTTTACGACATATCGACCTCCTCAGTCATTTAAAAAACAATATGGATAAGAAAAATTCCAACTTTGAAAGCAATAATTATTAAAATTATATATATATATATATATATATATATATGATAGGAAAAAATTTACTAACCTATCAACAATTTCTCCTTTTCGTTCTTTGGATACCATTTCTAATAATGTGGTTCTTAAATGTTCTCTAATGATTGGATGTCTGACAACTTGGTCTCTGAATATCATCAATCCTAAATTGTAGACATTGTCCACATTATTTTGTTGGACATACACTCTGTCCTGTAAAGTAGAAAACGGATCACAACAAAAAACTCAACAATTCTGAAAATAAATAACCATCAAAAAATATTTTCAATTAATTGAACCAATCAGTACAGTAACAAAAAGGTGAAAATGCAATTCAAATACTAATTGTAACTGTTGAAGATAACATTTCTTCATTTCAGACAAAATCATATATGTCACCACCAAGCTAGTATATTTAGCCACCTCCCCACGAGGGTTGCATGTGGCACAAGGCTGGGTTTAACGTAGATTCTCCATCCCGTAGGCTCTGCCAAAAATATTCCCTTTGAAACATGTATAAACAGGTTCAGGGCCAGTCTACCTCCCTGAACGAGGCTGCCTTTTGGCGGAGCCTCATCCAGGTTCCTCTCTGCCTTCGGGCAGAGAGGTCGACTGTGTAGCCGAAAAAGCTAGTCAAGCAGTGAATATTCAAAGAGAAATGATCTGGACAATGGAAGCCCCATACATGCTAAGCTCATGTCTTTTTAACAAAAATAAATAATTAAATTACAGTAATTATTGATAAAGTCCTTTATTTCTCAATCATGAATATTCTTATTAAATAAAATAATTCAGACACCACCAAGAAACAAAAGAATGTGAATTTGAGACTAATTTTTACAAATTCAGTTAAAACTTGAAACTGTTATATATATTTTTTTTTTCTCTCCATAATTTAATTCTATCTTTTGAAACAAAATTTGTTCAGAATCAAGCATCATTTTTACTGATACTTCATAAGCAACAGGCATTCACAGTGAAGGGAAAATGTTTCACTTGAACCTTTCAACAAAAAGGAAACTTTAATAAAAGGTCACTAATTCAAGTATAGATTTATTGTTTCAATAATTTACATTGGAAAAAAAAATTATTTTCTTGTGCATAACACAAGAAATTTTTGATGGAAAGTAAAGGTAAAAAAAGGGAAATCATATAGAAAATTTTACTCAGTTTAAAAACTTACTTGAAACAGCCAGATTGCAAATGCACTCAGTTTGGCTCCCAAGTCCATTCATCTTTTTATTTTTTTATAAAAACTTTTTCTTCATTCTTAATGAATGACAATATCTTTTTACCTTCATAGTTTAATATATAGAAATATAATAAAATCATAATCAAGCAGAAAAGTATGATAGATTCATTAATCCCTTAAAATGTATTACCAGATATGTCTAGTTAGCACCTTTCCCCAAAGATTTGAAAATTAGTTTTGAAATGGAAATTAGAAGAAACACACAATGGCTAAACATCCAGTTTATTTTTTTTCTTTAATATCATGAAAAATTAAATATTCTCATGAAATATATGCACAACAGTGAGATTTTAGAATGCAATTTATTCCCTATATTTAGCTTCAAAAACATGGGGCCATATTTTATGCACAAGAAAATATGGTATCAGTGTTCTAGTTCTATGTCTGTTGGTTATTTTTATAGCAATCATTTTAGTTTATATATTCAATTTTTTTGTAACATCTTGTATAATTAATTCTTTCATATTGATATATAAACTAAATACTTATTGAATTCAAAGGTTTACTTGATATTTGCACAGTTAGGATGAAAGTTAATTCATTCTGGAGATGTAAACAAACAGCAACCACTTGAATCTCAAATTAATATACTGAGAGTGTAAAGTTTTAAAATGGGTTTTAAGATCAATTTGATAAAGAGAAAGGTTTAAGAGCTTCAGAGTTTGCATAAAATAAAACAATACTGAAAATTGTAAAAACGATTGACTGGTACCACCAACTATAAGTTCTTTGGTTCTGGATGACCAATGCAGTTTGGATAAGAAATTCAATTTCTGTGTTTGCTAAATCACAGATGGAATCACAAGTCTTTTTTTCATGTATTTTTCAACAATAAATTACAGTTCAATAATTTGGTATTCTTTCAAACACTTTAGTTATTCTTCAAAAAAAGTTAATGGATTGTGACTTACTAAAATATGTCTAAATATGTCCTTAAAAAATACAAAAAAAAAAAAGCTATATTTTTAAGAACAAAAAGTTTTGATATTAATTACATTTTTAAAATAAAGGTGATCAGATTTCCAATGAAAAACTTGGGTCAGCTTTATGCAGATCTATTTTTAAATTTTTTTTTTTTTTAAATTTTCAAAGACACTGAGTAGATTTTAACAGACAAGCCAAAGCTGATGACCAGTTTATTATTAAAGTGGACACTGGAGGGTAGGCAAATCAGGTAACAGGTGTTGGTGTACAAATTGGAAGAACTTTTTCTTTCATTAAAACATTACAAAAGAACTTAGTCACAAAGACCTGTAGTAATTTACATTCATTTCCTCAAGACATTTGACTTTCAAACTTTACAAATTTCTAAACACCTAGTTACATTTATTATATGTTAAAATTGAATTGTTTTCATCTACCTCTATCAATTTCTAGATGAACTTGTTACTTGATTCTTTTTTTATCCTCCTGTGCCCACTTCAGCAGTAAACTTAAGTTTTTGGCTAAAAAGATAACAAGTGTTTTATATAAAAGTGTCATAAAATTATTCATATTTTGAGTTTATTGGACCCAATAGATAATGCACAACTAGTGGCTAGAAGCCTTTTTAAAGTATTAGTTTGAACAAAACTTTTTAGTTCATTGTAAGAAACCAGAACTGTGAGAAATTTGTTTTTATCCAAAAAGTAAGATAGACAGGAAAATTCAAAATAATTAAAAGACTTGCTTTGTTTTTAGTTTTCATCAGTTACAATGAAATAAGATGAGCAAGTTTTGTTTAGTAAAAAAAATTAAAATGTACTTTTCAATAATAGAATTTATTTGGGTTAAGCCAAATTTTAAACATTTTCATTGGGTAACTAAAAGCAACTTGTATAAACTATTATTCATACACATTTTCTTAATTGTCAGAAAAAGTTTGAGAAACTACAATTTTTTTTTCCACCCTAATTACATAGCACTTTACATTTTATTCTTACCTGAAAAAAATGATACTAACCATGTACATTAGGATGTCTCTTATCATCACCATTGATGTCTGATGATCATTCCATGCAACATTCAATGTCTGCAGAAAATGGTTGTTAAGTGCACGCAGAACATCTTCTCGAACCTAAAATAGAAAAATATCTTAATATCTTTGAAAACTTAGCATTAATACAAGAATTGCAAGTTCAAACTCTGGGTAGAGTAATATAAACTCAGTAAAAACAAAGCAAGCAAAAACTGAGCAGTACTAAGACAAAGACAACCTTAGACATGGAAAACAATCTACTTCTATAGATTAAATAAAGGGTTCAGTTCAAAATTCTTTGAAGGTTACCCACATCAATAGACATCCAAATAAGGTTGGAGGGCACAATGGACAAAACATTGATAAAGATTAGGACATTAATTTCAATATAATGAACCAAGGCAAGCTGTCATTAAATTAAAACATTATTTTGACTAAAAAATTTTTGTTTATAGAATACTGTTAATGACATTTAACAATTAAAAAATTGTTTTATTATCTGTTTTAAAAAATGAAAAACCCAAAATTTTGAGCTCAAACCTTTAAAGAAAAGAATCAATTCAGAAAGCTAAAAAAAATAAATAAAAAGCTTAAATAGAAGAGAAGGAATAAGAAAATGTGCCAAAATTTGAAAATAACATTTTGATCTAAATAAGGGAAAAAAAAAAGAAAAAAAAAAGAAAACTAAGCCTAAAGGTTTTATATAAAAACAGCAATACCAACACTCCCAGCAACACTAACATTACCTATCTGCCTCAATATATTCACTTAGCAAGTATTCAAGAATTCAAAGAACTGTTACAAATATTGAAAATTTCTTCAACAGTTGAAAAAGTTCTTGCCTATAAGGAATAGATCAGAGTTCTTAAGAAAAAACAAAAAATACACAAGGGAGAGTTCTAAATGGACAGGATGCAATAAAGTCTATCTTCAAGTGATTCACGGCCTTTTTACATGTAGACAGGCATTTTCATGCTGCAAAATGACAATTATAATTCAAAATTAGCATTTTCAGCTTTGAACACCAGATTCCATGCTTATATAAATTACTTCACTATCAAATTACACCCTTTCATTTAAAAGCACTCACCATAAGCTTCAGTGTCAGTTAAGGTTTCAGTTCCTTATATGCATCTAGTGTTATTATGCAAATTTTCTGATTGTTACAAAGAGCTACTAGCTACTAAAAAGTTCTTGGTTACCAAAAAAAAAAAAAAAAAAAAAAAATATAATTCCAGTTACTTGATCAGATCTTAGGCAGTAGGTCAAGCCAAGAATTTTTTCCATACTCTTTTACACAATCTATTATCAAGAGAGATAAAAACAATGGATCAATTTCATACTGTTGAACATAGATCATTGTATACCTCTGTACATTTAGTTTTCCATTCATTTCAAATGGGACTGATTTATAAAGCATTTTTATTTTTACCAATCATACTTAAGTGATTTTAAATGGTTCCAACTAACTATACCTTGAAGTACCAAAATTTTGCATAATTTTCTACCACAACTTAAAGAAAATCTTTTTTAAATTTAATTAATGGTTTTGGCAGACCTATCTCTAAACAAATCTATATTTGCACATTAAAATTTTTTTTTTCATTAAAAGAATTATATAAAGCTTGGACTGACAAAATAAATAAATGGAAAGGTTTGTATAATTACCCAAAATATAGTTAATGAAATTAAAGTCACCTTTTACTGAATGTATCGTTTAAAATACATCAACTAGTCACCAGTGTAAAAAAAAAAAAAAAAAAAAAATCAACCTTGATGATTTAAAGCCATTTTTTTTTTAATAAGTAAATTACAAATACCAGATTTTTACTTATAATCCAAGCTACTTACAAATATTCTTAAATAACACTATAACCACACTAAAATTACTTCAAAATGTAATTGATTTTTTTTTTTTTACAGTTTACTAACCTGCCAAAATATATTTCAGAGTGTAGGGAGTTGTTAAAAGTACTCAGTATTCCCCCCATCTAAATCTTCTTTAGAAACTATTTTACAGTAATCATAAGGAAATTAAGGCATTAAATTAAACTCTAAGTATTGAGATAAGTGAAAATCTTGTCAGGTTGATCAAACAATTGCATCATTGCCATAGCTGACTTCTACAAGTTATAATTTCCATGTTTAACCACTTTAAATATGTGCGTAAATGTTTGTTGTAAATCTGCTGCAAAAGTTGTCTATTTGGGTGATTATATATAAAAAAAAATTACTAAAAAAAGGAATGTTTGTTATTTATTAATGCAACAGAGGTTTATTACTTTGATGTATTGGAATAACCTGTCACCCCCATCAGTGACTTCACTATAGGCAGTAACTAGCTATAAATATCTGTAAGTCAATGGACTACAGAGCCTAGCTGCGACCTGCTCCAGCTAAATAGTCGAACTCTCTGCCTCTGAGCAGAGAGGAACCTGGATGAGGCTCCGCCGAAGGGCAGAGTCTCGTTCGGGGAGGTAGACTGACCCTGAACCAGTTTATAAAGATTCAAAAGGGAATATTTTTGGCCGAGCCTATGGGCTCAGAGAACCCACATTAAACTGGCCTTGTGCCACATGAAGCTATGCCAAAGGGCAAAGTCTCATCCAGGGAGGTAGACAGACCCAAACACATTTATACAGGGTTTACGGGGAAATTTTGATTTGAACCTATGGGCTCGGATTGCCCCACATTAAATTCGACCTTGTGCCACATTGTACCCCGTGGGGAGGTTGGTAAATATTGCTAGCTTGGATCTGTTGAGTACGACTAACTCAATGTGAGAACTACCAACACTTCCAATAGTAGCACTCACTACTGGATTGACTTGCAACGACCTTGTGCATAACTGTTACCTTTATTCTTATTGTACTGGTTTTTACAATAAACCTTTACTTATTTTATCCACTTTGTTTTTCAAGTATACATTCCCATTAGCACGGAATAGGACATACTTTAACATTTTTTTTAAATATGGTTTAATAAATAAATGGAGGGTCTACTCAAATATGAGTGTCCACTAAAAAAAATAACATTGAGTAATGAAAATCTGTCAGTTTAATAAATAAAAAACTCATTTTTTTTTTTTTTTTTAAACCTAAGATATGTTTATTGTGAGCAGATATTTTATAATTTATTTTATAAATTGGAGAAAAATCTGAATTCAGATTTTGTTTGGCCATTAACATGCTCCGTAGCCAAGAGGTCAAAGCATATTAGATCTTATTCCCTAGGAGAATACAGGTTCAAATCTTGCCAGAGAGTGCATATTTTTCTAATAAGGTTTTTCAAATATTCAGGCATATTAGATGAAAATAAATACTGTTTAATAAATAAACAAACCATCTACTCAAATACGAGTATTCATCAAAAAGCAAACTATATATATATATATATATATATATATATATAATATAATATATATATATATATATATATATATATATATATATATATATATATATATATATAATATATATATATATATATATATATATATATATATATAATATAATATAATATAATATATATATAATATAATATATATATATATATATAATATAATATAATATAGGTACCTCCGTTTATTTCATGAAAATCTAATATAGCATGACAAGAATGGTCTGAAAATTAACAAAAAAAATTTTTCATTATAAAAGTATATTTCATTATTGAGAAGAAACACTAAAAGTATTTTTTGAGTAATTTTTTGAAATTTTTTACTCATTCTTAGCATATCCGAAATTTTAGTTAAAAAAATTTGTTTACAAAAAATAACGACCAAAAGCTCGATATCAGCCATATTTTTTGAAATTTTAAAAATAAGTTAAATTCTTCGTTTTAAAATTCGTTTAAAAATTAATTATCGTATTTCAAAATTTATTGAAGAAATTTAGAAAATTTGAAGTTTATTTAAAATATTTTTGAAAAAAACTTTTACCTACTTTCTTGGAGAAAAATGTTTTTAAAGATAAAGAGAACCGATCTCAACATCATAGAATTGACAAGTGCTGAGTGATGGCGTCTATAAATTATTGACAGCTGGCGTGAGATTCAAGTTCTCGTACGGAAGAATAGAATGGACATATCGTTTTTTTTTTTTTTTAAGCGGACCTACTTAAGTAGTACTTTGTATTATTTAAAGTAAAAAAACTTTCGCCATTTCTTATTTTTTTTTAAAGTACTGTACCAAAAGTTTGTTGATGGTATCTGGAGAAATTATAAATACTATTAAAAAATTAAGATACAAGTGCTGCACTGCTGTTTTTGGGCCCATATAGACCCTCTAAAGTCAATTCAGATTTGCTATTATAAAAAATTTCTATCCCCATTAAAATAATCAAACATAGTAAAATCATTTTGTCACAGCCTATATTCTCGGAAAAAAGATAAATAAATGGATTTTTTATTTTTAGGTTTATATATATATATATATATATATATATATATATATATATATATATATATATATAAATGACTTATCTGGAAAAATATCAGGGAAAGTTTATCTGAATCCCATGAAACTAGGTATTTTCTGAAAGCAAACAATATGTTTCATTTAAAAAAGTAAAATTGGCCAGTGTAAATGATTGAAAAGTTTTTAGTTTTCTAGAGGCAAAATGTGAATCTTACTTATTATAAAACCCAGGTTCTGTGTGTTACGTTTACATATTGGATCGAACTACATTTTTCAACCAATTTCAACCAAACATTACAGGACTACGATGAAAACTAGATGAAAGTACCTATTTTAACTTAATGAAAATGATGCACACGTGTTTCAGCAGGAACAGTTTGCTAAATTAAAGGGAGCCGTATACAGCGAAGAACAACACTTACTAGACAGAAACTCAATCCACGTGGCGTTATTTTTATTGCACGTACCAAACTTCTGGTCTTCCGTAGATTTCATTGGTAAACACATTATTGACAAATTAATTTTTTAATATACGAAGACTCATTAGTTTGTAATAAGCTTTGGAAATTATAATCTGTAAATATTTATCTACTTAAAAACAACATCCGTTAAGCTATGCGGCTTTTTCCATAATTTTAGAAGAATTAACAACATAATGTAAAAATAAAACAATGGTTGCAGAAATAAAAAATAATTGTAGGTAATTGTTTTAAAAATTCATTTTTTCATGAAATATCTTTTTTGCTTTCAGACAATATTGTCCATGTTTATTGGAATAAATAAAAGCAATTAAAAGCTTTTGAAATTAAATAATATTTTTTGTTTTATTGAGTTTTTGTATGTTACACTTCAGAGACGATTTTCAGGTAGAAGGGTCCAACTAAAAAAACAAAAACATGATTTTGTTTCCTCAAAGCATTGTGCTTTTAACTGATATAATCACTAAACTCCTCATAATTGAAATTATAGAGTTTTCATTTTACAATTAGTTAGGCGGTAAATACATATGAAAAAAAAATTTCTGAGATGACTTTACTAAAAAAAAATGTATTTATAATAAGTTCCATCATTTGTAAATAGTTTCTGAAAATTTCATTAAAATCAAACAATTATTTCATTTTTGCAAGATTTTCCAAATTAATGTGTGTCAAACGGGAAAAAACGCAGCGCTAAAATGTTTACGTTAATTTATCAGCCAAGCTGATAAAAAAAGAAAACAAGGTCTTTTAATCAAAATTTACAATGTTCTAAAAAAGAAGGAAAAATTTCAAAAAATAAGTAAAAAATACTTTGATCTTTCCTCTAAAAAGTAACATAAGCATTAAGACGCGAAAATTTTGTTTTCATCAACTTTGGCGTCTTTTTAATCATGCTATGCTCTTTTTAGCGATACCATATAATATATAGATATATAATATAATATATATATATAATATATATATATATATATATATATATATATATATATATATATATATATATATATATAATATATATATATATATATAATATATATATATATATATATATATATATATATATATATATATATATATATATATATATATATATATATATATATATATAATATATATATATATAAATAATATATATATAATCCTATTTTAGAGGAGATCTTCATTGGTAAAAAGCCAAAGACCAACTCTGTTATTGAATTAGACAAGATCAAAAATATGCTGCAGCTAAATTACATGCTCCTCAAAGTGTCCTCAATCATTTGATAGTAGAAATTGTTAGAGAGAAGGACCTTACCTTATTGATAAGGTGTTCAGTGACTACTTCACGCAGACCAGTGTAAAGTTTTTCCCCATGTTTATGTAGGACCATGGTATATGCATTTCGGTAGAGTTCTTCAAAACTCAAGCCACTGTTGTTCTTTTTTTGTATTTCTTGGATTGCATTACGTAGTAATGTCCAGATACTGTTGACATACTTCTCATCCATGGTCATCTGTAAGAAAAATATTTTTTCAGTTATTTAATTTCATTCATAATACTTAAAATCTCATTAAAGTACTTTTTAAAGACCTAAACATTAGAATTAAGCATTTCAAAATTTGATATTCAAGTCAATAGTATCAAATTGCTTAATACCAAATTTTTGTAATGATAGCATCAGTGAATAAAAGTAGTTACTTTTACAAGAAATTTTGAATCAAGAAAATTTTTTAAATAATTTAGCAAAACTTAAGCAATTTTGTAGAGATCAAAAGGTCCTTATTGACTAAAATATACACTTTAATACAGCATCTATTCCAACAGTACTCAAAAATATAAGGTTGCATTTTGCTTTCAGGAATTGGATTAAATTGGAAGATTACATTATATGGATTACTATTCAAAAGTAGATGATAAAAATTACAGTAACCACTGAATTTTATTAAAATGTGATTTCTCATGCAAGCCAGAAAAGATTTACAATAAAAGCAAACAAAACTTTAAATTTATATTTTAACTTAAGTCAATAAGTTTTGCTAATTTTAAAATTTTTTATGATTCAAGAATAAAATTTTATTGTCTAAAAATTACAAAGTAACTACCAAAATGGTGTATCCATACACAAATAAATTTCATAAGTAATTACAATCCTTAGAACTTAGAAGAAAAATATTCTAACAAACTGAAGCAATGCCAGCATTATTTTTGTAACTGAATATAGAATCACTATAAACCTCTTAAGACATACCTGGTTACCTTGAGTGTTTGTAAAAAAAAAAAAAAAAAAAAAAAGATTTTACAAGTATGAACTTAACTAATTCCTGCCTTAAATATATTTATAGTTTAAAATGTAATAAACAAAATTTTTAATGTGAGTGCATATGAAATAGACATGTCAAATTAAATTCAAATAAAGAGTGGGTTAAAAAAAAAAAAAAAAAATGTCAGTGAATCTTCAAAAATTAGGGATACATTTAAAAATAAAACGAGGATTTAAATGTTTAAACACTATTTCAATCTATTAAAACTAATACAGTATGTATGTGTTACTGTTATACCAAGATGATTAGACCAATCATGTTAATACTAAAGCAGCAGATTTTTACAGAAATCCTGAAAGCTGAAACCATTAAATCTTAAAAACTTCAAATCAGGAGTTTATTTTATGAGTTGTATTTCATCAGGATAGGAGGCATACATGTGCACATGCGCGCACACACACACACACACACGTGTGTCCTGCATCCCTGATGAATAAAATTCTTAAAGGATTGAGTAGCTTCCCATCTGTGCATCCCATGGATGTAACTAAAATTTCCCATGAAAAGTAACACATTGTACATTCTTCCAAACACATTTTACTAGTTCTTCCCTTAATTTTTTTTTTCTTTCATTGAACAGTGGGATGTGTGGCTGACATGAAATAGACATCAATGTCACCTTATGCGAAAATTTCTCGGTTAGTTCTTTTTTAAATTTATTTGACACCTGAATTCATTGAAGTTTGCCGCCAGATGCTTTAAATTTATTGATTCAATTGAAAAAATAAATAAAATAAAAAAGAAAGAAAAGAAACCTGTAGCTCTGCAGTTTAACACAGAAATTTATTAAGAAAGTTTAATTAGTACCCATTAGATTTCCTAAGGGCACCACCAAATTACCACCTAGTGGCCATGAGGACTGACTACATTATAAAAAACAAAAAAAAAAAAACTATCATTGTGTGTGTGTGTGTGTGTATATATATATATATATATATATATATATATATATATATATATATATATATATATACACAAGTTTTTCTGCAAGTATATAAATGTTGGAGGCAGATAAAACTGACCTCAAAATTTTAGTCTGCACAGTTTAGATATAAAATTAAATTGTACATAAAAATGTAAATAAAGAATTATCCATAGGCAAAAATCAGAATACACAGATCAATAATAAGTGATAAACACCATTGATCTAAACAGTAAATTTGGTAATGTTTAACAAAACAAGTAGAAATGTTTACAAGACATAAAACATGTCAGTTTGAGCAGGAGTTAGTACAATCATTTATGAAAATTCTAAAATTACAGAGTAATGAAATATTTCACCAGCAGATTTAGAATAAAAACTTCAAAAGCAACCTGTAAAAATTAACAGAAAGTACATTTTTAGTAAATTCTATTCAAATAAGTCATTTTAGTGTATGAGGCCATTTTGGTATTTTCAATAATTTAGTCCACTTATATAACTTATAGATAAATATATGGCATAAACACTAAATCCTAACTAAAAATGATTTTTAAAAATCACCAGTTGGGGTTTATTTATTTATTTTTTTGTTACATATACACATTTCAAGTTTTTCCCCCACAAAGAACAATGAAAACAAAGAAAAATGAAGGCTAATCCTGAAAGAAATAGCACTGTCCAATCAGACAGTTGATAAGGACAGCACTGATTCATCACTATTATCTCAACAGGGTAAAGAAGGAATGTTAGAGGTTCAAAAATACAAAGTTAAACAGGAAATTCTTGATTAGAAATGGTTAATGCTTGCATTTTTTAAAAGTTCAATTTATCATCAAGTCTTGTTATATAAAAAAAATAATCAGTTTTGCATATTTATTTGAAAAACTATCTATCGATTGGTATTCCACTTAAATATCAAATATAAAATCAAGTATATCCCAAAACAATTATGAAATAAAGCAAAAATAGTTAACAGCTTTCATACTATTTCTCTTAATTTTACTGATATTGAATCTCTCAATTTCAAAATTTGAAGGTTTCATCTTAATATATGCTTTTCAAATAAAATAAAAATGATTTAGATCACTGGAAATACTGAATTCAGTAAAAAGAGAATCCAAAGAATTTAGATTAAAACACAAAATAGCTTTTCAGACAAATAATTGTCAAATGAAGGCCAAGTGAAACTATATTGGTCATTTTTAAGTGAAATGCACAAATTTTCCAGGTTAATTTGCAATTAATGTCAAATGACTATAATATTTTTGCTTTCTAAAGGCTCTGCCTAAAAAGCAAAAATTTGAAGCACCTAACTCGATTAATCAAATTAAATGTTCTGTGAGAAAACATGAATGGACCAGTTGAAATTTTAAATTCCCTTCACCTTGGTTAGGTGATCTCTACAACCTTTATTACAACTAATACCATAACTACTTGTATAAGTGCAGTAAAGTTGGCTAAGGCACTAATAGCACCAGTCACTTAGCCAATGAACCAACCAGCAAGTTACTGCTCACCACAAACAATTCACAGATTGCTACCAGAAATGGATATTTAAAACTGGAAAACTGCCAACAGTTTAATCATACTAGCTTTTCACTGCCACTAATACTATTGTCACCATTGTCTGAAAAAAAAATAAAAAAAAAAAAAAAATTCTTCAAACTCACTAAGTATTATTTAGTAACACGTACCTATTGAGAAAGAAATACATTCAATTGCTGTCTCATGAAACTTAAATCTACTATTCAAAACTATCAAGTGAAAAGTTCTGTTAACATCTTTTTAAATTACCAAACTTCCAATATTTAACTGACACAAAACCAATATATCATATGTTGCCACTACTAACTTTAAATGTTACTAAATATGATTGGTACAGTATTTACATATATAAATTCATACAAAAGAAAAAAAAAAAGTAACATTACCCATATTAAGACACTTAGATAGCAATGGAAGAAAATTGTTAAAACCATTGTAAACATAAAATTCTATTAAGTGTTTTTAAAATTAAAAAAGGAATATTTGGTATTGTATTCATAAGAGTTAATAAGTTTTTTTTTTTTGGTTGGGGGGGGGGTATTATTCAAGACATTTTCCTAAATTAAGCTTCCTACATATAAAACTGAAAATTAAAATGTACAAATCACTATATCCATTAGAAAAAAAAAATGTTAATCATAAAATCTGCATCACTATTAACATTACTACATTGTATTAATAGATAATGGGAAGTAACAGTACTTTAGTGGTGTTAAATACAACTGTAACCATTAACAAAGTTTACTTATTTAACAGTAAGCAACTGACAATTGTTTTAATAATGCTTTTGTATAAAAAGAGCCCCTGGAGAAAATTTTTAATATCTAAATTTGAAATATACACTCACTAAAATCTATTAGCCTTGACACTGATAAGAAATATTTCTTGTTTCTGACCAGTAATAATCCAAGGAGATGAGGGGTTTATAATTAAAGGTTAGATAAATGGTGAAGAATTCATTTTCAATGCTAAGAATTACAGAAAGCACTTAAATGAAAAAAAATTATTTCAATAAAAAGTTAGCAATATATTGTTTATATCTATTGAGTAAAGGAAGATTTGCACAGTAACAACATACATCAATTTGCATGTATGTTTTATACTAGATCTGAAAGGGAAAAAAAAGTGAATGGATGGGAGATTCTATAAGCAAATGAGCTTTTTCATAAAATTAAAATGGGAAAACTATCTCCATTATGACAGCCAAAAGCCAAATAATTTTATACACAATGTCACTGGTAGATATTAAAATTGACCTGGAGAACTTCTCACCCCTCTCATAAAATGAAAATAAAGAAAGCTATAAGTCATGTAATACATTTTAAATCTGATGTAGTTTTGAAAGATAGTGACTAATGTAATTTATGTGAGCATTTGTCATTAAAAAAACTTTAAATTTTGAAATTTCAAGTTCCAGAATGAACATGTAGTCTAATGATATATACAAGAAAATTAGAAACAAAGTTTAGAAGAAAATTCCTGTACAAGTTACTAATATTAACTTCATCTATATAGAAAGCAAAAAATAAACTTTATGCATGATATATCAAAGGAAAAAAAAAGTAAACAATCATATTCAAAATACAAAGCCCATATTTCTCTTAAAAAAATTCAATAGCATAAATTATTTACAACAGCATTAATGAGATTAAAGAGATTTTTCCTTTATGTTTAGTAATCAAAATTGTGAAAATAATCAATCAATAAATAAATTAACATATTCAA